TAAACTTATATTTCGCAAACAAACTTCGGCACGACGCATTAATATATATATCTGTAGTACAAAAATAAATATTTAAGATAATAATTATATAATTATTATCTATGCACTGGAAACTTTGAAATAATAGAAGGAGATAATGCTGTTGTTATTGGTACAGCGCGCATTACGACAGATCTTGCTAAAGAAAAAATACCGAGTCATTTCTTACGCGAAAATAAAGCCGTAGAAAATATATTTCAATAAGTATTACAACTATAAGTCTGTGCTATAGAATATATAATAAGAGTTTGCAGCATTAAATTAATGAAAGTATAGAATATTGCATTGCTTTTGGAAAAATATAAAACTTTTTTATTCATTCATAATTTTCTTTTAACCAAATATAATTTCTATCTCTATTATATTTATAAAGAAACATCATAAATGTAGATAAAAATTAATATAATTAATAAAAAGTACGAATGAGTAAAATAAAATTTTATATTCTTTTAAAAGCGCCCAATACAATATTTTATACTTTCATTAATTTAATGCTATTAAAAATATGTAAAATTAAATATGTTTATGTAACTGTGTAAAAACACCAAATTCTGTAATACGCATACACTTAGAAATTAACGAAATAATTACGTGTTAATACTGTGCTTTATATACAAAATTGTATTATATTAATACAGTATATAACATAAAATTAAATACATTAAATACATAGGTTAGAAATGATACAAAAGGAGAGAATAAATAAAAATGTTTATTAAAGTATACTATTGTATTTGATAAGAATTATTCTCTTATTCACAAAAGATAAAGTACGTGCATTATATAGTAATATAATAAAATAAATTATTGATCGAATCTTATACTATAAAAGTTTAGTTTAATATAATTATTATCTTAATATATTTTAATTAAGACAGAATAGGAAATAAAGAACATGTATCGCAAAAATATATTCAGCATATATACATATATAAAACTAGTCATTTAAATAATTACTAGAAAATAAGTAGGAGATAGTTATAAACACTCTGAGTTTTATTTTATAATATTTTATAATATTTTCTACATATATATACACACACACAGATATTATCTTCTCTCTATTTTCTATTATAGTTTCTCTAATCTTTTATTGTCAGCAACATAGAGAAGTATCCCATTGCCGTTTTCACCATCTAAACAGAGTAAAAATAAAAACTAAGAGTATTTAAATTTTGTTTTATTTTTATGATAAATAATAATTATATATAATATATGCATATGTAAAATATGATATGCAAAATGTTCCACAATTATACAATACTTCTCTTTTTAATAGCATATTATGCAGATTAATTAGAATAAAAAATTCTATTGCTCGGACATGAAATAAATTTGGAAGTAAAAAGATTCATCTTTGTTTTCATTGAAAGGTTCCATATAGCACGTAATATAACAGCAATATCACAGCAATATTATTTTTTCATAGCAATATTACAATGAGATATAGCATAAATATTTCTGGAATATTACAAATATATGACCGTAATATTAAAATGTCCGCCAAAGTAAATCGCAATAATATAATGGTGACATATCACAATTGTGTTATTGTCATTGTTACGTTTAGACTCGTGGAGAATTGAGTCGGGAAAAAACGCAACTTATACTTATCTTGAAATATATATTTTTTTCTTTTGCGAGATAAGTGTTTCCGAGTCAAACGAACAATACAGTGCCCCAGACAGATCAACGGCCGGAGGGGCCGCTCTTACTCTGTCAGTAGGCCGTTCGTTCGGCAGTCCCTTTTCGATAAAGGAACTGAATCCCTGTTACGCAGGACGGGACCTTGTGCGATCTCGAAGTAAGGGAAGGAAAACGGGTTAATAAGCTACACGGATTTAAAGTTAAATCTTATATTTATTCAAAAAGAAAGAAAAATTTTGAGGAGATGGAATCAAGTATTAATACATTTAAAATTCAATATTGTATTTATAAACAAATATTCTTAAAATCTAATATGTATATGCGTGTATGAGCGAGTGTGAGAATGAGAGATGTTTTTTCGCGGGTGATACATTGGTACGGAGAGCATCAACCAGAATGAAAAGGGGAAAGACTAAGATTTAAATTCTGGTTGGAAATTTACAATAAATAGTTTTTAGAAAAATTATATAAAATAGAAGTGTGAATAGAAAGATGAGGATAAAAAAATTATTAATTCGCGGACGCTCGAGCCAGGAGTTTCCGGATAGCCCGATTTTTCTATTTCTGATGTGTTTCGCTCAAGATTTTGACACACTTTACTGATGTTGTTTCCACTAGGAAACACACGCAGGAATTAATAATGTATTAACGGTTAGTTAGCGAAAACAGTTTGATAATCATATATAAAAAGAGAAAAAAAAATAAAATAAAATAAGAAATTAACGATTTTAATATAGGAGTTTTAATGATGGAAGTTACTCACTTAGAGGTGCTGTATGAAAGAAGGTTCTTATGAGTTTGGAATTAAGCGTGAATGCCGGCTATGACGTTATGTCAATGTCCTAATGCTATCACACTTATGAGCCCGTGGATGATAAAGGAAGAAGGAGAGGAAATATGCAAAATATTTGATAAATAACAAATAAATATATATATATTTATTTAATCCTTGCCTTGCGGCTTCGGATGACTTCCAATATACATTATTCATTCATTACATTCATTCGACAATTAAACATTTAAACATTTATAACATTGTAGAATAACAAATAAATATATAATGTAATCAATAAACATGTATGTATAAATACTTAATTAAAGATTGAAATCATTTTCAAGGTTGCAAACTGTTTCCTTTGAGAGAAAGGAGAGAAGGAAGGAGAACAATGCAAAAAAGAAAAAGAAAATCTTTAGCAGACTCATTACTCGTTGTGTGCTAAGGTGACGAATTTAAAAATCTTGCTGGTTAAGTGAACCAAGGTCTATCTCGTGGATTCGGCTGTGCGGAAAGGGTGGCTTGGAGATCCGCTCGGTTGTTGAAATATTGATTGTGATGTTAATGCACTTGACACTAAATACCACTTATCACCAATGATATTCTAAGTGATATTCTAAGTCTTTTGGTTGTATGGGAAATCTGCACTCGCACAACTGTAAGAGCCGCAAAGGAAAAAAAGAACCGTGGAGATTAAGAGTTGAGTATTGACTGCATCGAGAACTGAAGACAAAAATGGATTGAAAGTTAAAGGCAGACTGGATTGAAAGCTAAAGACAGAGTGTATGAGAGACAAAGATAGACTGACTGTGTTCGAGGGAGGATTTCGCGTATCCTCGAATCTTAGCGTCTCCTCTTGCATCCTTTCCATTAGGCAAGCAGAATCCTTTCTTAATGAATCAAATTTTTAAATGTTGCCTCTCTCATGAGTTGAAGGCGTCTTCCTGCTAAAAGAAGGTCTAGGAAATTGCATCTATTGATATAGGCTTTTTAAAAATTAAATCTTGCCCATTGAAGAGTTTGCCATAATTGGCTAAGTTGACAGTTTTATTATTCACTTATTTTATCTCTCTTTCTCTCCCTTCGTGTGGGATTGGCACCGGCGAATACACGCCACATGGCCATAAACTGGTAAATGTTTCTATATATTAATATATATGCTGTATATATAATTTTCGTGCTGAGTTAATTTGAGTTCGTAAAAACCTCTAAAGAGACATATGAAAAGATGGAACCCGAGCGGAATCGAACCTGGAATCTAATGATTACCAGTCCGCGACTCAACTGTCGCAGATCATAGTTACATCAGTAAAGTATCGCTCTAGTTCTTAGAAAGACTTTTATTCAAGAGTCTCCTTATACCGTGTTTTCACTAGTGGGCTTTAGAGTTGAAATATTATTTGATGCATCTGTGTGTCTTTTGCATGCGCATGGTTCAAATTTCGAGCGTTCTCACGGCTCGAGTATCTTTCATTTTCTGTTTAAAATTCTTAAGTTCTCTAGTGAGTCTTTGTGTTCAAATATTTATCGCACATGGTTTAGATTCTGATATCGTTTCTGAAATATTAGTCTCGCCTGCTAGATATTCCTTAGTTTAATGTTTATATCAAGTGCAAAGAGTTTCCAGAACGTAGACGTTTAATATTACGTGCAAGAAAAGAATCGTGGAGTCCACATAATACGTAACATAATATTTATGTAATATTGCGAGGAATTAGATCATTTGAATATTTTTATATTACAAATATATTGCAGTTGTGTTATTGTATAATAGCTCGAGGAATTGTCGTGACATAAAATATTATGCTAATACAATAAAGATTATAACATTCCAACAAGGTAATCTTTATTATATTAACATAATATTTTGAATAATGACATTTGGAGGAACTATGCAATAAGACAACTATTCATGATGGCAGTTTTTTTTTTGCAATCTCACAGAGATATTTACGAATTATTAATAAATAATTCATATATTAGAATTTTCATATTATATATTTATATATTATAGCAATTATATTATTATATATTATGGCAATAAATAATTTACTCATATGAGAAAAATAATATGCTTTTATCCATTAAAAATAGAGTTAGCCGAACAAGGAAATCTTTGACGGCATGTCCAAAATTAATAGATAATGATTCATTATCAATCAAATCAAATTTATCTTAATAGTTTTTCATCAGAAAGTATAAACGTTAACTTTACGCACATATTATAAATAAAATAATGCTATTACGTCAACGTGATCTTATAGATTACGTGGTTGCATAAATGCATCTATTTATTTATTAAATTAGTATTAAGTCTCTTATTTTATCTAGACTATCTAACCTATAATCTTTATTACACTTCCATATCTTCTCTTGTTACTATTATTATTATTATTATTATTATATTATTAATTCATTATTTCCTTTTATTGCAAATTTAATTATTTTTTTAATAAGCTAGTTCAAATAAATTATAATTAACCCGTTATTTTTATTTAAGAAAAGTATTGAATAATTTACGTGTATATCTATAATATAATTAAAATGTACTATTCGTAATCACCTTGTTAGTTGTACTTAATATTCGTCAATATCAGCCAAGTAGGAAAAATCGATATTACATAAGCAATTGAAATCCATATCAGATGACAGATTTTAATATGTATGTAAGTTACAAGCTTGAGCGCGTGCTAATTATATGCTATATTAATCGATCAACTTTAATTGCTTATAATTCAAAAACACACTGTGTTATCGGCATTGTCGATTATTAAGATTTTTTATTCTAATTAATTCATAGAATTGAAGTATTGTATATGTAGTTTCAAGATATATTTTGTATATATACTCCAATACTTTATAATTAAACAACAATATTTAATTAATAACATAATAAAGAAACAATTATTTTTGCGAGCATTACACATTACACGAAAAAAAAAAAATATAGATTTTGAAGAATAAGTCTCTCACTGCTCCAAACAACTCCATCGAAAAATTTCCGAATTTTCCAGCTGTTAATTTAAGCGGTATTAAAGATCCATATGCAATAACCATTAAGTTCTTCGCATCTTTGGCCGGTATATTATACCACTTGCATTCATATACGCTATACGCCATACTTATCTGCACACGAGTATTGTCCCAAATGATCTGGGACACCCTGTATATATATATACATAAATTGAATAATCTTTCTATTACAATATTTGCGAATATTCAAGTAAAGTGAAAATATAATTATATAGTTATTCTTTAACTTTTTTATATATAAGCATATTTATAAGTCATTCTACTTACCGTGTAAACTCGAAAAGCTTGAAAACATAATTGAAAAGTAGCGGTTAGCATGTGCACAAATAGCACTGCGCTATAACAGTTGTTGATTATCCTTACATTCCTTGAAAAATTATTTACATTATTTACTCGTTATAGATTGTCGACTTACTATTTTAATAATTCCAATGTATTGAGGGAGTGAATGCATTTGAAAATGAGTAAAATATCAAAATCTGTTTTATTTCTTTTTTTAAAAGTAAAAGGAAGATAATAAGATTAAAAGGTAATTTGCCCTAAATATTTTGGAATATAATAAAATAATTTTTGTAATATATAAATATATACTTAATTGTGTTTAAAAAGAATATTAAAACAGTAATAAAAATAGCATCAACATTTTTGAAACGCTTTCTTGTAAAATCGTGTTTTTCCACATTAAAATACATTTGTATTTGAAAAATATACTAGTCCAATTGTTAACCATGTTTTTAATTCAAAAATAAATAAACCATAATTTAATTGTTTAGTTTAACAAAATTAAAAGTTACGACTGATGAATTGTCAAAAAAAATGATTTTATTTAAATTATGAGAAAGAAAGTAAAAAAAGAGTTGGATATATGAACCTACTCTCTTAAACTGAATCAATGAAAATTTCATTGATTAAAGCAGTGACAAGATTTCGCTGAAGATCAGTGATTATTTTATTGACTTTTAGTGAATATACTCACACTTTGCTTCTGAGTCTTATGAGTTTCACTGATCATGGCAGTACGATTTCACTGAAAAATCAGCCACTACTACTAACCCGTTTTTTTCATTATCAGTAAGACTTCACTATTTGCAATGCTATACTAAAACTCCACTGCTTATCAATGATAACACGCTGATTCTATTTAAGAGAGCAATATTAAGAAAAAAGAATATAGAGATAGATTGTTTTATTAAATAATTACGCAACTGTATTTCCTTAATCTTAAAAGAAGTAATTTATTTTTAATTTTTAATAAAGTGATTTGATTTTATATTTTTTATAGTTAATATTTAAATCTGATGAAATTTTAAAATATTTTTAATGTTTAGAAGAGTTATATATAAAGAGAAATCTTCCTATATAAGAGAGAGAGACCATATATTTGTTTATTAGGTATATATATTGCATAAGTATAAATATATATTGCATATATATTTCTTCTAATATAACAGTTACGAGAGAAATATGTGTTACATTGTATTTTTAAATATTTTATAAAATTACTTCACAAATACTTTAAGACATACCTGATAAGATGTTTATGTCGTACAGCGACCGCGGCTAAGCCTTCTTTAAATTTCGGGTAGGATATAGATTTATTAGATAGTTCATCGACCAAATTGTTGAGTGCCATTCGTAGATTTATTAGTTGCGCGTATACATGCAGCAAGATCATCGAGATGAAGCTGTCGACAGTACAGTTGATTAGTCCTGTGTATATTCCACCGGAAAGTTGGATGACAAATGTGATTTCGTAATTCGGACTCTTCTGGGCGTTGTAAGGATAAACGAAATGATAGATGAAGCTGCGTTGAGGCTGATGAATATTTTGATAAAGTTTTAGAAGATTAAAACATATGTAAAAGGAGAGACCGATCGTCGCGAATGCGTAACATCTAAAAGATAAGCTTCTGCCACATCTCGCGAACCTCAGCATCGTATTCCGTTCGCGCTTATTCGTCGAATTTATCCAATCGGTCATGACTGACATCATCAATGTTTGAAGTGCTTTTAAATTAAACACATATATTGATATATCAAATATATATAAATTAATATATACATATATAAATTGTCAAAAAGCGTGATATATCCAATTCATCTTTATATACAAAATACTAAACCTAAATATTATACAATGATAGTGTTAGA